AGAAAGAAGAAAAACAGGTGATAGTTCACCCCAAAATCATGAAATAAAATAAAAAGTCATCATTTACTACGATTTACTCATGTCATTCTAAACTTTTATGACGTAATCACTTTTTATAATGAACAGAGCGAAATTTAAGCCTTCACTTTAAAATAGGTAAATCAAATTAAAACACATTTACAGACTACATCAAATATGAGGACACAATCCTTAAACATCATGTTTGATCATATCATGACATGCGAGAACCAATGATATTTGACATTAGTTGATATTTGAGGTTTGTGTCGCCATATTTGATGTAGTCTGTGTACATGTGCATTGATCAATGTTTTGATTCAGGCTTAAATTTCAATCTGTACATCATAAAAAGTGTTGCTTCATGCCTTTATGTCTTTTTTGGAGTTTAACAGTTTTTTTGTTTGTTTGTTTGTATGTTTGTTTTTTTGATCCCATTAACTTGAACATTCTTCAAATAACATTGATCTTTCGTTTGTGTTCAGCAGAAGAAAGTAAGTCATACAGGTTTGGAATGACATGAGGGTGAGTAAATTACCAATTTTCTTTGGTGAACTATCTATCCCTTTTAATCTTTGCTGATGCACTAATTTTTTTAAGACTGTTCTTCTTATAATCTTCAACCAAAGCTTTTGACTAAATACATTTCCTGACACAGCTGAACACAAACACAAACTGGTAACTTCATCCAGTGAGCAGATGCTACACGGCTCTCAGAAGCATGCTGAGACAGACCTGCACTCTTTCGCCAGCAGTCTCTCCCAGTACTGACAGTCTGCAGCGCTGCCTGACATGGTGCCCAGCAGGTAAGGGTTGATCTCAATCACTTTATTGGCCTCCTTTGATGCTGCAACACATTGGGAGAAACATCATGATATGGAAAAAATACAGTTTGACAATTGTATGTTATTCTGAATGCTGTTATCAGTATGAATGACATGCTTTGTACTATGGTGTAGTTATAAAATCAGCTTGCTTCCATGGAAGAGTTTACCTACTTTAAAACTGTATGGATGCTTGCTTACCTATGTTTGTTTTTTTGATCCCATTAACTTGAACATTCTTCAAATAACATTGATCTTTCGCTTGTGTTCAGCAGAAGAAAGTAAGTCATACAGGTTTGGAATGACATGAGGGTGAGTAAATTACCAATTTTCTTTTTTGGGTGAACTATCCCTTTTAATCTTTGCTGATGCACTAATTTTTTTAAGACTGTTCTTCTTATAATCTTCAACCAAAGCTTTTGACTGAATACATTTTCTGACACAGCTGAACACAAACACAAACTGGTAACTTCATCCAGTGAGCAGATGCTACACGGCTCTCAGAAGCATGCTGAGACAGACCTGCACTCTTTCGCCAGCAGTCTCTCCCAGTACTGACAGTCTGCAGCGCTGCCTGACATGGTGCCCAGCAGGTAAGGGTTGATCTCAATCACTTTATTGGCCTCCTTTGATGCTGCAACACATTGGGAGAAACATCATGATGTGGAAAAAATACAGTTTGACAATTGTGTGTTATTCTGAATGCTGTTTTCAGTATGAATGACATGCTTTGTATTATGGTGTAGTTGTAAAATCAGCTTGCTTCCATGGAAGAGTTTACCTACTTTAAAACTGTATGGATGCTTGCTTACCTATGTATTTTCCAGCTGATGCTCTGGAGTCAACGGCCACAATGACTCCATGACGGAACTTAAACGCCAGGGTTGTGGTGCCATGATTCAGATCTATGGAAACACCATCCTCACAACTGCATGACTTCAGAAACTTAGAGGGCTGATGGGAACACAGAATATGTTACGAGGCCATATATATTTACATGTTTTTTAAAATAGTTTTTGCTTAAATGTTTGTTTTTGCTGTTGCTGAGGCTCTGTCCCCTGTGTTATGAGACAGATTCTCAATATTCCTGCCATATAACAAATCAAAAACTTTAAAATGCCATTTTAATGACATATTACATGCTCTACAATTGCTGAAGACTACAAAACTAACTGGAAAAATAAAGGTTTATGTATCAAGGCATATTTTTTTATTAATCTGTTCAACATGTTTGGGTGCGAGCATTCTTCCATTTTCTCACAAAATGAGTGTTTTTATGCTGTCTATCACTTAACACCGTAATAATGTGTCTCTAAGATTTAATTAAGAATTGATACTGATAAAGTAACTTACGTCAACTCCGACGGGTACCGCGAACTCCTGGCATTTGGTCCCAAAACTATAGTGATTCGACCGGTCCAGAAGATGCGTTGAGACAGATTCTCAATATTCCTGCCATATAACAAATCAAAAACTTTAAAATGCCATTTTAATGACATATTACATGCTCTACAATTGCTGAAGATAGTCTACAAAACTGGAAAAATAAAGGTTTATGTATAGGCATATTTTTTTATTAATCTGTTCAACATGTTTGGGTGCGAGCATTCTTCCATTTTCTCACAAAATGAGTGTTTTTATGCTGTCTATCACTTAACACCGTAATAATGTGTCTCTAAGATTTAATTAAGAATTGATACTGATAAAGTAACTTACGTCAACTCCGACGGGTACCGCGAACTCCTGGCATTTGGTCCCAAAACTATAGTGATTCGACCGGTCGAGAAGATGCGTTTGCTTAAAGCCACACTGTGACGCAGAGTTATATTTATATCCACTTACATCCAAAAGAGCCATTCTTTATATAAAGAGAGTACAATTAAAGTAATTCAAGTTGGCCTAAGTGAATTTTACATGAAGGAAACACGATCCCTAAGCGGAAGACAATGATTTCGAAACCGAAAGATTTAGTAGAGTAGTTAGTAGTTTCGATTTCGACCAGAAATATCTTTTTAAAATTATAATCTATAACTTCGAATAACAGCTGTAAATGTTTTTTTTTTCTATGTGTCTATCTCATGTTGTTTAAGAGTATTTGCGATAAACATGATAATTTTGAGATTGTCTGAGGAAAAGGTTCTGTACAGTACTGGTTGACCAATAGGAGCGAGAGTCTCTCCGCGTCTTCAGTATCTGCGTAGATTCATCCTATGCAGGTTAAGACCAGAAGGTGAAACATTGGTAAGGTGCGGAGACGTAACCGTGGACACCCTATTGCGGGTCGTTGAGTTTAATGCCTGAAACTGCAGAACAAACTAGATTATAAAAAAGATTGCAATTAGCTTAAATGAACTAACCCTACTTGAATGTATCAGTACTAATATGCTGTTCAGTTGTCTTGTCCAATTAAATGTCATTGACTGAACTTTTTTGCTCTTTCCTTTAAATGTCCTTTAATTTGATACATATGGTTGTTTTGTCTCTCTCTCTCTCTCTCTCGTTATATATGTGTGTGTGTGTGTGTGTATACATATATATGTGTGTGTATACATATATGTGTGTGTATACATATAAAGAGTGAAAAATTTAAGGGGGTCTGAATACTTTCCGTACCCACTGTATATATACAGTATGTACACACTAAAAAATGCTGGGTTATTTCAACCCAACTTTTGGGTTAAAAATCGAATGTAAAAATTTAACCCAACGGTTCGGTTAGTCCATATTTGACCCAAAGTTGGGTTGAAACAACCAAGCATTTTTTAGAGTGTAGCATGCCCACTTTTTCGAAATGGAACACAAGGACCAAGAGGCAAGTATTTATGATTTGCAACATTATTGTTTTGAAATCTCTTTCATTTGGCTTTAATCATTCATTTGAGCATATATAACCAATAATAGCAATATTGCAAAAAAATTTCCTTGGAATTTATGTTACATTTCTTTTAAATCAAGTTCTGTTGTGTTTACTAAAACAGATCTTTGTTTCTAAAACATAAAAAAAAAAAAATGCTGTGCAGGGCATATGCTGGAAATTGTAATAGTTTGTTGATGATTATCAGTTCGCAATTATGCGAACAAACATCAGACATAAAAACACATTTACAGCATAATCTGACTTTTTTTCCTGTTTGTTTGTCAAAACAGTAACTGAGTTGAAAGGATCCCTCTTCCAGATCACATTATAACATCACAGGGTTTTTCATGGCTCAACTGGATCCTGCTGTTTCCATCATTTGAACTGTCTCATGCACCAACTCCAGCTCCAGCTGAGTCACGGTTTTAGTTAAAACAGGTGTTGTATCTGGCTTATATTTGTACTTTGCCTGTCTGTAAGAGTAAGACAAAGAGAGATCAATATATTGCCAATATTAGGCATTGCATTAGGCACAATTAACACTAACCTTTAAATATGCATTGAGTTGCTGTGACATTATATCATTTTATAAAAAGTAAAAATGTGTTCTTTTATAAAAAGAAAAAACATCAAAACCTCAAGAGTGACAAAAACACTTCTTTGTTTTTTACCTCTTATAGTTATAAGGGGATTCTCGGTGAGGTCTGATATAGTCCACCCCCTCTTTCGTAATCACACACAGGTCTATGTTGTTTCCTGATCCCAGGTCACTCATGATGCCTGCGTGGATGGCATCACTTACTAGTGCCTTGGCCTCCTCCAGCTAAAGGTTGAATGAAAGACAATAGTGACAGAAAGATGTAGTTTCATGCACTAAACAAAATGTAAAGTACAGTTTACTCAATTTCTTTTGCTCAAGCTTTTTCACACAATTTTTTCATAAAATGGAAGTAAAATCTACATTGTGATATATTGAATAAAATCTAGCTCTGGTTCTGGCAGGTCACGTTAGTCAAGCTCGCATCAGCTGACTCTCAGCTGATCCCCATCTACCTATGGGAATACGACACCTACCTAAGCATTCATATATAAGGTCCCTCAGTATTATCAGCAGTTTTCGCATTGCTCAATAGCTAATTACCCTTCTCCATCCCCAACTCCTCCTCTGTCAGTCGGGATTCAGCCTTCTGATTCTCCTTGAATCAGACTAATTCTAAAATGTGTACATAAAATTATTGAACTTTAAAATATCTGCAATACATTTATGTTGGTTCTGTTCTGTTTACCCTGGGGGGGTATCGCTGCTCTCCCTGCTCTCATCCATGCTAGGCTGCATGGATGCGCAGGGAGTTCTTGCCCAGAACAGAACCATACCGCCAATCCAAACTGTATGCTAATTGTCAATCATATTTGACGATAGTGGTCCTGACAGAAACA